TAGTTAGCCTTAGCCTGTAGCTAATATATTTTTATGTTTTCCTGTTAATTAGCATTTTTTCTTTTTATGTTTTTACTTAACCTTTTTTTTTTAGCTTGTTAGCCGATTACTTTTAGCTTTTGGCTACTGTTTGGTTTACATATAACTTTTAGCAACACTTTTCCTTTTAGCTACTGTTCTTCTCTTTTAATGTTTAACCTTTTGCTGTTTACCAACCAGTTGGAAGCAACTTTTAGCTTGTAGCTAACTTTTTTATGTTTTCCTCTAAATTAGCCTTTTTTTCCTTTTATGTTTTAGTTAACCTTCTTTAGCTTGTTAGCCGGTTATTACTTTTAGCTTTTGGCTACTGTTGGATCTACACACCTTTCCTTCTTTTAGTTACTGTTTTTCTCCTTTAATGTTTAAATAACCGTTTACCATTTAACCAGTTGGTAAACTTTTATCTTGTAGTTAACATTTTCTGCTTTTGCCTCCTAGTTAGCCTTTAGTTATTTGGAGCTAACTTTTTGTAATTTTGACATTTATTACAACTTTTTGCTACTTTTACCCTTTGAGTTAGCCTTTTGGTTATTTTAGCTTGTTGAATCTTTTTCTACTTTTCTCATTTAGTCAGAATTTTGGTAATTTTAGCTTGTAGCTAACCTTTATATCGTTACCTCTTTAGCCTTTCTTTACTTTCTTTTTTGCACTTTGAGATTGTCGCTGGCTTTTTGCTAACTTCTAGCAAATGTTAAATAGTTTTGCTAATTGTGTCTAAATTACATTTTTAAATAAAAATGAAAATATTTAATCACTTAGTTTACTTCACAACCTTTAGCTTTAGCTTTGCTATTTGTACTCACCATTTTTGCGGCTTTTAGCTTAAAACTAGCTTTATGCTACTTTTAACATGCACTCAGCAACCTTTAGCTATAGTTTTACTGGATGTTTATTTTTTATAGAAAATAAAATAAAAGAGAGCTGGGTTTAAATCAAGCTTTTGTAATTTGTTTCTGAAAATATTTTCAAAATAAGAGCCTTTAAAGTACACTTTTATTGAGCTCAACAAAGCACAATATA